ACACACACACACACACACACACACACACACACACACACATATTGCACTTGCCTCTACCATTTTTTGTGAGGATCAGGGTCCTCGGTAGGCCTATGGGGCCCTGTCTGCAGCCTTACCCGCCCTAAGTGAAGGCGGAGGTGCCCGCCCTAAGTGAAGGTGGAAATGGCTTTTTGCAAAAGGCCTTCGACTGTCAATTTCGTATTTGGGGTTCAGGCAGTTGCGACGCGCCAGTTGGTTGAAAGAAACACAGGCCGAGCAACAAGGACATTTCCATGGCCTACCGGGCCTTTCCAAAGAATGCAGGCCCTGGCCGTGATTCGCAGCCTCATACAGAGACAGTTGGGCGCCCAACCGAACGAGGCCCAGCAGCCCAGTAGTTGCTGCACCCAGGCAGCCTCCTGGGGCCTTCCGGAAGCTTTTGGGCCCAGGCCAAGGCAGCCAGGCTGCGTGAGCAGGCCAACTCTTTCCATAAAGGAAAGAGCTCGGCCCTGGCTGCCTCATTCAGGCACTCGCATGCTGGGCGGCAGCGCTGCTGGAGCTWATGCTCGTAGRCTGCTGCTAGCGCTGGGAGGCGAGGTGCAGCACGTGCGGTCGTGCAGAGGAGGAGGGCRCTGCTGAGGGCAGCGCCATAGCCCAGCCACCATAGCTGGTGGGCTTGGASTACAGTGAAGCGCAGGGGTGGTCTTTGGTTGACAGAGAGGACAGGTGTGGGTGAAGTCAGGGGATAGGTAAAGGATGATGATGATGATGATGATGTGAGGGCACGTACCTTGTATTGGCGATGGTCTGCATGGGCGGCATCTTCAAGTACTTCGGGCTGCTGCTGATGYCAAYAGTTGCATTGTCTTTTTGTAGTCTGTAGTAGCTGTGTAGGAGTAGGCTGGGCGCTGAGCGCCAAGTGTGAGTGTAAGGGAACTGGACTCTTTTGTTGACAGGAGAGAGTGTGCTCTCCACGGACATTGGTTTTCAGTGCTACGAAACTCCATTGGTGTATTATTGGTGCAATGCTGCTATCTGGACACGGTGTGACTATTTGGCTTGCAATGTGATGGTGTGACTTGGGATTGTCATTTCGCTGTTGCTTATTTTCCTTGCAATTTGGTATCGGAGCTGGTTCATATTGCACTTCATTGATTCTTAGCAATAGCTATTGGTGCTTCGCATGAGGTGTGGGGCAGTGATAAGGCATTGGCGTTGAATGTTAGGCGGCCCAGGGTAGTGTGGGCGCGGCAGGGAGCTATGTGGTGACATACGGGGTGTATGCTGGATGATGAGAACTCGCTGATGTGGCATATTAAGCTGAGGTGGAACCGCATTCTGCTGTTGGTTGTACCGAAGCAAAGACCGGTCATCATAATTGCACATCAGGTTACCGGTGAGAAATCTGTGGTTGGGGGCAGCATTTATGAGGTACGTTGCTCTCTTCCTTGTCTACCCTCTTCATCTCTTCTTACCGTGAGGAAGTGAGTTCTGTCTTGAGAGTCCTCTCAGTGTGAGGTGTCGCGAGCGCTCAACCTTGAGAGTCGACATTCTTCCTGGGCAGCAAGCTGGTGGGAGACGGGCGAAGCCTCTGAAGGGCCCTGCACGAAGCACTCGGGTCACGGTCACCATGCCAACCCGCTGGGACTATTACACGCATGCTCGGGCGCAAGTCCTTGGATCTGCTGCTTGCGCAAATAGGGGTCAACTCGGGCATGGCAGCCTCTATGAGACGCTCACCAGACCGTCTATAAACATTTGTGGGTGGGGACTCGGATCTGAATCTGGCTGTGATCATCGTCCTGACTGCGACGTTAAATAATTCCTGAAGAGATGGGGGCGCTCTTTAAATTCCTCCTGATCAGCCAGATCAACCGGGTGTAAGGCTCGTCGGCGTACGAGGATAAATAAGAGTGATGTGGCTGCCTTGCTCGACGATGACTTGAGGCACAGGGGTGGGACCGGATTGCACACCTTTAGACACGCTGCTCAACCAGATGCTCAGGGACGTTGACAGAAAGTGACTTCTCAAGAAGGATATAGGGGGAGGGGGGGATTCCGGTAACTGTTCGCAGTGGCAATCAACTTACAATCTGCCATTCAGTGTACATCTCCAACAAGAGATGTTATTTTTATTTTGATTATCTAGTTGTGACAGACTTCGCGAACAACTGGCAGACAGCTGCAGATAGATTAAATCCTTGCTGTAGTGCAATCTGTTCTAGGGTAATTCAAAAATAGAATTAATATATCCTGTAGGACCTGACATTAGTTGCAACTACATCACCTAATCATTTCTGTTCCAGCCGACCGTAAGTAGTTGTGTATCATATGCGGATGTGTGTCAAGCTAAGGTAGGATTCAGTGTGGATTCTAGTTTAGATCACACACACTGTAGCTCATGAGTGATGCAAGCACAAGTGAGGAGGAGTTACTAGTGGACGACCGCAGGACTACTCGCAGGACTGCTCGTAGTCGACCCTTGACATTCTTGGAGTTAGGTCCAGAAGACGAGAGAAGATTGAGAGCGAGGGCAGCTGAGGACAGTGCTAGGGCTAGAGTTACAGCTAGCATCAGTGCAGCCATGGCTACCTCATCTATGACGCAACCCTCTACACAACCCTCTTCGTCAGGAGTCAGTCAGGGTGGTTCTTAGGTTCCCATTAGTCAGATTGGTCATGTGCGAGTCAGCCAGTCTCCACTCACGCCGGAGGACTTAGAAATTCGGCAGGCAGAAGAACTTCAGGATGAGTTACAGCGGCAGATGGACGATGTGGTAGAGAGGAGAGGGAAAGCTATGCAAAGAAAGGCTGGACTAGAGAGTAGAGCTCAGGAGCTAGGCAGACTAGAAAGACTTGATGAGTCAACATTAGACCCTGTTGTCCGTGTGCTGCGAGGAGCCTTACTTTTAGTGGCGGAAGCGCAAAGCGTTCAGCAGGAATTGTTGGCTGATTTGGTAGCAGGCCAGAAACAAATTATGGCTGAACTTCGGGGCCCTCGCACAATGGTGAGGCCGCCACAGTTTGCTGTAGTTCCCCCTGCAGCTGCGGGTCCATCATCGATGCCGCAACGCACAGGGCAAACTTTCTCTCCCATGTTTGGCATACCCTCCCCGGGTGGCTTAGTAGCAACAAGTGGTCCGGTTCATTCAGTCTCAGCCGTACCATCTACAACAGTGGTGCCTACAGACCCACTGTCCAGCCAGGCTCAAGTAAGTATGCAATAGCCTGTTTCAGCGGCTATGCAATAGCCTGTTTCAGTGGCTATGCAGCCGCTGCAGCAAGCACCTGGGCCCATGCAGCCTGTGCAGTGGATGCCCAAGATAGCTTTGATGAGTCCCAAGCCCTTCTCTGGTGATAAGAAGAAGGAGGAAGACTTGGACATTTGAGTGAGAACTGTGCCTACTTATGTGAGGCATAAGCTCACAAGGCCAGAGCAAGAAGTTGTAGTGGCTGCCTCCTTTTTAGAAGGGTCAGCAGCCCGCGAGTTAAATGACTTAGTGCAGCAACAGGGCTACGGTCAAAACTTCGATGCCTGGGCACAATCTCAGACATTGGAAGAACTCATACGGTCCGTATACAACAGGTGGCATGACCCACAAGGGGCTCAGAAGGCCACTGACGCTATCAAYAGTCTTTAATCCCAAAGGTTCAAGAATGTTAGAGAGCTGACGGACACCGTAGAACGATTAATCGTGGTACCTGGTGTGCGTTTTGACCAGCAGGTTCTCCTAACGGATTACCTAAGGTGCCTACCGTCAGAGGTAAGGACCAAGCTGGTTGACGAAGCCTATGTTGAACAGCACACCTTCACTTCTTTTAGTAAGAAAGCTCTGGACATCGAGGCAAAGCTASGATCTGCGCATCAGGCCCCCAACGATGGTAGGAAGAGACTGCCCCAAGATTGGAAGAAAAAGGGTCAGTTAATGTTCGTTGACCACGATGGTCAAACGACGGAGATTGACGACTACTCGGATCTTGGGGAGTTCACAGAGCACAATGGGGGCAGTGAGACTTCAGATGGTGGAGTCGTAGCACCCATCAAGGAAAAGGCTAGGGGGACCGGGAAGAAGAAGGTAGGACGGTGCACGGGTCAGGGCGACCAAGGAACACCCGCATGGGTGAAGATTGGTTTAGAGTATGACGTGTGGCGTGACCACGTTGCTAGGGGCACATGCATGAATTGTGGCCATTATGGTCACACGTCCAGGACTTGCCGCGGCAAGAAAGTCACCACGAAGGTAGCCTCACCAACGGTGGTGGGTCTTTCTTCAAACCCTGGGAGTGCTTCTGCGAGCAGCTCACAGGGAAACACCTCGGGCCAGTAGGAGTGTTAGCCGCTCTTACTCGCGCTGAAGTGGTAACGTTGCCTTCCCCACTTCAGGCGTTGGCCAAGGCTAGTGACCCACGTATCGCCCCGCAGACACATTCAGACTCACCGACGCTCTGTTCGAGAGATGTGTCAGAGGACCTAGAAGAGTTAGAGACTGAGTGGTCAAGGAAGGACCCCAGGGACTCTTGGGCGGTGATCAGTAAAGGTCCAAAGGGTGAACATTTCGTGGTAGAAGTAGATGTAGGTGGCCGCAAGGTTGGCGCCTTCGCAGACATAGGCTTTACACAAAATTTCATCAGTCGTGCTTGTGTGGATAAACTGCGCTTAGGGGACCAAGTGCAGCGGCTTAGCAAGACTGTAGCTTCTACGCTAGCCAACAAGGACGTAGCCTGTTCCTTCTCCTATGGAGGAGGGGAAGTGATCCACAAGATCTCCTTCTTGGTTAGCGACGAACTGCCATTCGACATGCTATTGGGCATGTACTACCTCGAAGACTCGCAACCACAGTTTGATTGGGATAGAAAGGTGTTGATACACAACTTGCCAAATGGTAGGACCGTTAGGCTGCAGAAGTACAAAGCTAGCAGTCTAGTGGAGAACTACGGCTGCATGTGCGCTTCGTCTTTCTATAACTACT